CCCGGCCCCGAGTGGGGCTCCACGGGTGTTGGGTACCTACCCCGCTGCTGCGGCCCGGGGGTGTCCGTGTCCCGGGGAGCATCGTCCTGGCTGGGGGGCATGTACCGGGACCCCCCCCTCCCCATTCCTTGCCCGGCCTCAGGGGTTATTACCGGGGCGGTGGGTTTTTACTGGGGCACTGGGTTTTTACTGGGGTAGTGGGTTTTTACTGGGGCTGTGGGTTATTATGGGGGCGGTGGGTTTTTATTGGGGGGGGTGGGTTTTTACTGGGGCAGTGGGTTTTTTATTGGGGCAGTGGGTTTTAATTGAGGTGATGGGTTATTATGGAGGCAGTGGGTTATTACCGGGGCAGTTGGTTATTACCAGGTCGGTTGGTTATTACCAGGTCGGTGGGTTATTACCGGGGTGGTTTTGGGTTTGCAGACGTCCCGTCCGGCGGGGCCGGACACCCACGTCCCCATGCGGAGAGGAGCCGGCGCTGGGTCATGAGCAACACCACGGCCCCCACGGCCCCGGGTACGGTGGGCGACTCGCTGGTGGGCTACGTCCTGGGACCCTTCCTCCTCGTCACCCTCCTCGGCGCCCTCCTGGCTGCGGTGAGTGGGTGGGCATGGCCGGGGGGGGACGACACACACGAAACACCGTCCTGAGCCCGCTCACGCCTTCTCCTGCTCTCCTTGCAGGTGATGTACGTCCAGAAGAAGCGGAGGTGAGCGTGGGGCTGGTTTTTTTGGGGGGGATGTGGGACCGGTCACCGCTCAGCTGCCGTCCCCCTGCCAGGTTTGACCGCCTGCGCCACCGGCTGCTGCCCATGTACAGCTACGACCCGGCCGAGGAGCTGCAGGAATCTGAGCAGGAGCTGCTGGTGGAGGCGGAGGACACCCGGGTGGGTGACCCGCTGCGTTTCGGGGATGGGAGTTTGGTTTTGGGGTCGGGTATGGGTGGGGCGGCTCTGTGGAGCACTCACCAGCCATGCACGGTGCTGCTGGGAATTGCTATTTATCTGTTTTTTGCATGAAAAATTAGCGTTAGGGTAGCCCACGGGGGCTGTTAAGCCTGGGTGGGAGCTCACGGAGCCAGCCTGCCCCGAGGGAGCACCGGGCTCTGGGAGCCAGAAGGTTTGGGTATAATCCAAAGGTTTTTGGGAGGGTCGGGCTGTGCCTGCGAGCCCAGGGCTTCTCCACCCGCCCTGACGCCGTTTGGGGTTGCTTCGCCCCCCGGCTTGGCACCGGCGGGGGTCTGGACTGGAGCCACCCACCGTCCCCTCCCAAAGCCGCCCGGCGTGCTGAGGGCACGCTCTCTGTTGCAGGTGGTGCCTGGCTGGGGGGGACCCTTGCCCCATCGGCCCCCGCGCAGGGACTGGAAGGCCTGATGTTGGCCGGAGAGCTGGGGCCGAATCCTGCCCGCAGGAGGCAAGGGAGGACGGTGTCAGCACTGGCGCTGCTGCCTTCGCCAACCGCCTGGAAGGGCAGGATGCGCCCGCGGTGGCGTTGGCGATGCCGGCGGCTTTTGCCCAGGAGCGATCCCACCTTGTGAGCACTGACGATAACGAGTTATGTCCCGCCTCGGCACCTGGTTTTGCCTTTTTTTTTTTTTTTTTTTTGCTTGAACCACCCCGCCAGTCCTTTAAAATGCACTGAGCAGGACGGCCGGGGCTGGCACCCCGGCGAGGGAGCAGCCGGGTGCCGGGGCTTTGCCGGGCACGGAGGGCAGGATGCCTGTGGAGGAGCAACGCGGCATGTGCTGGAGCAAATAAACGTGTTTCTCTGCATTCGGCCAAGAAGGGTTTTCAGCAGCACAAGCGCTGCCGGCCCACGGGTCAGCATCACGCGTCCCTGCCTCGGCAGCATCATGACGCGGTTTAGTAATAAGGAGCCGAGGATGGGAGTTTTGGGGGAGGGGGGCAGTAGGGTTTTGCCTGTTTCTGTTTCCATCGGCAGCTCCCGTCCGTCCCCGCAGAGGATGGCTGGCACCATCACAGATGTCCCTGCGGAGGAGGTACCGTGCGGAGCGGCCGCTCCGTGCCTGCGGGCTCTCCCTGCGTGGGGAAAACCTGCTCCCACCCCGCTGCCGGGGGCTGGACCCCAGCCAGAGTCCAGGGCAGAGGCGTCAAACATCCATAAAATGTTTTATTCAAGTAACTGCAAATAGGAACCCAAAAGGTCGTTAACAGTGGACCAGGAGGAAAAAAAAAAAACCAAACCCCAATTTTCTCACGCCAGGGCCGCCCGGCACAGACCTCCGGTCCCGCTGCAGCCGTCGTGCAGGGGGTGGTGTGGTGGGGGGGAGCATCCCGTGATCCCCCCACCCCCCCACCCTGCCAGCCTCTATCCCTTGCAGCAGCAGAGCAACCTAGACCTTAAAATAACAATTAAAAAAAAAAAAAAAAGCCCAAAAAAGGAGGGGGAAAAAAAAACCCCACGGCCCCCCGAAAAAGGAAACATGGAGCCTACGATGCCCCGGCAGCCGGCACAGCAGCAGCACGTCTGTGAGTTCAGAGAGTGGAACTTAAATATCCAGAGGTAGTTGTGAATGAAAGGAAAAAAAAAAAAGTACTAAAAAAAAAAAAAAAGTATATATACCAGAACTTATGAGGAAAGGGCTGCCCTGAGCTGGCCCCACTCGGGCACCCCCAGGGATGGGCACTGGGCCCCGGCATCACCGCAGGAGCTGCTCTCCCACACACAGTGCACAGTGCAGTCACCCAGGATTTGGGGGGGGGGGGTGTACAAGGGGCGGTTTGCCTGGGGTAACAGCAGGCCAGAGCGAAGGTCTAATGCATTTGGGGGGGGTCTTACCTTTGCTGACCCCCCGCCCCCCAATCTCTTCCCTGCAGAAGCCCTGCGGCAAAGCTGGGGGGGGGACACACAACCAGCACCCACTTTGGATGGGTGAGATCACTGCCTTGGGGGGGGGCAGCAAAGGCAGGGGGTCCCAGCCCCGGCTCTTTGCCAGGGACCCCCTTTGCCAGCGGGGCTGCCCCAAAACCCAGCACTGGGGAGAAGGGGGAGCCGGGGCGGGTGCCCCCCCTCCAGCCCCCCGGGTTGGGGGGCTGTGGGGGCCACCTGGGTTGGGCCATTTTTCCAGTGCTGCCGTTGTCTGAGGATGAGGAAGGAGTGGAAGAGGGAGGAGGAAAAAGCCAGGGCGGCACAGTGGGTTTCTCCCCGTCCCTCTCCCCCGGCCGCCGAGGACGCGGGACCGTCGGGCGATGAGGTAGCGCCGGTTGGGGAGGTTTCACTGCTCCTCCTCGGATGACTCCTGGGAAATGTTCACCTCCTCCTCGTCCTGCTGCTGCCAGGTAAGGGAGTGTGGTCGGGGGGGTGCCAGGGGCTGCAGACACCCCCCATCCTCCCTGGATGAAGGGCTGGCCAAGCACATCACGCCCCTTGCGCAAAGAGGGAAACTGAGGCACCGGCACCCTCCTGGATCTGGGGACTGGCCCTTGCTCCAGGTTTAACCGTTATGGGTTAAATCCCAAATAAGAACCCCCCCAGGTGGGCTCGCAGCGAGGAGGGGGGAGCCGCACACCCTGGGTGCGTGCACCCCCTGGAAGCCTGAGACCGCGGTCCCCAGCCCCACGGCCGTGTCCCCAGTTGCCACCAGAGGAGCGCCGGTGGTGGCAGGACCGACCGTCCGTGTCCGACCCCTCACGCCGGGGTGGGCGGCCGTGAGCATCGTGGCCCCGCACGCAGCGGTGAGTCAGGGCTGAGTGTGAGCGTGACTCAGCACCGGCCCCCGCTTCCTCCCGCTTCATTCATAAAAAAGCCACCGCGGTGCGGCCGGCGGCTGCCAAAGCGGGACACGGTGTCCCCAGCACAGCCCCGCTGGCATGGGATAGGCTCGGTCCCACCCCACCGAACTGGCTCCCTGCCCTGGGATCCCCAAAACAGCCCCTGGTGCTGTGACACCGGTGCAGGAGACCCCCCCCCAGGATGTGACCCCCCCCCCCGGTTTGGAGCCCCGGCTGGTCTCGGTCCCTCGCCCTCCACAAAGAATTTAAGTGGGAAAAGGGGCAAAACTCCGCATGGAGCAGAGCAGCCGCACCCTGAGGGTGCTTTTGGGTGGCTCAAGTGTCCCAGTGCCTGGTGGCAGCTCCTGGGCACAGGGATGCGGCCCCGGGGCTGGGGACAGCGGGAGGTACATGCTGGGAAGGGAGAGGAACCTGCTCCCAACCATCCGGGTGATGCTCCTGGGTGCCCAGCAGGCACCCGAGCTCCCGTGGGGCTGCAAACCGAGGAGGGGGAAAATGAAACGGAGGAGGGGAAGCACAAAATAAGAGGGCGGCTGTAGTGTGCGGGTAGGGGGGTTGCTGCACACGCAGGCTGCAGGAATGCCGTCCCGGTGACGCAGCGGGCACCTGGGCAGGCGTGTGCCAGCGTGCCACTGAGGCAGGACCAGCCACCTCCTGCGTGCTGCTCCTGGGGCTGCGGGGAGCCGGGATGGCTCAGTCCCCCCAGCACCAGCACTGGGACATGGCATGGCCGGGTTTGGAGCCCATCCTGTGCCACGCTGTGGCCCTTTTTTTGCTCACTGCTCTGCTCTCCTCCAGCCTGGCAGCATCTACCCCACGCCTGTGGGGACAGCCGGGGGGCTGCTCTACCCCCAAAGTGCCCGGCGTTCAGCCAGGATGGGAGAAGGAAGGGAAAAGCCCACTCACCGATTTTTTGGGTCGGCCTCGAGGTTTTCTCCCTGGTGTGACTGCAGCTTTCTGAGCAAAAAATAATAATAATGAAAAAAAAAGGACATTTTGATCAGGCTGGGGCTGTCCCATCGTTCCCGGGATGCTACCGGGGGCAGGCGGCATTCCCTTTCCTCCCACCCACGACTGCCAAATTCATCACCCCAGTGGCATCTCCCGGGCTGCTGCACCCAGGTGGCCCCGGGGCCACAGCCAGCCCCCCCCCGGCTCCCCTTGCCACTGGCTTCCAGCACCAGGACCGTCCCGGCCCCGTGACTCACGAGGCGGGCGCAGGATGTGAGTCGCGTGTTTTGCAAACAGGTTTATTGCGGGTGTCCACATGCTGACACACGCAATCCCTGCCCTCCCACCCCACCTTCTTTGGGGGCCAGCACCGAGACCACCACCCCACCCCCCCAGGAGTAGATTTGCCCTGAATTGTCTATAATTGAGCTCAAAACGGACCTGTCGTCCCAGCACACGGCTGCTTGGCCAAAGCACCCCCCGTCCCCAGCCACCTACCCTGCCTTTTGGGGTGGCCTTGTTTTTACTGCCCTTCGGCCGTCCGCGGGGTCTCTTGGGGGTCGGGGCCTCGCTGGGCTCCTGCTGGAGGGAGAACAGAGTGGGGGTCACTACAGATTGGGGGTCCCCGGGGAGGGATCCGTGCCCAGAGCAGCTCCCAGTACAGCAGTGCACCCCAGGGATGCTCCGGGCTGGGAGCCCCATTCTCCCCAGCAGAACCCGCCGGGGCAGGGATGCTCTTGCGTGTGGTACTGGGAGGACTGGTTGCACTGGGATCAGCGGTCAGGCGCCAGGCACGGGCTCCTGCTCGTCCTTCAGCCAAGCGCGTACGTGACCTGTCCCACCCCGGCATTAATCGCTCGGCTTAGCCGGATGGTCCGCGCCGGTTTCTCAGCCCCGAACCCCAGCTCCCTGCTGGTGTTGCCGCCTTGCAAAGTGTCGGGGAACCGACAAATCACCTTTTCTGCAGGAAAACGATGTGCACAAACCCACACCTGCCCCGGGGAGGGTTGGGGGGGTTGGCACTATAAAGGCTCTGGCAGCATCTTATCCCTCTGAGCAGCTTTTGCTAATGGGGCTTTAATTAGCCTGTCTGCAAAGGCAGATTCAGCTGCAGCCCAGGGAGGAGCAAAGGGAGGCCCTGAGCCCTTCCCTGGGTGAGGAGGAGCTCTGGGGTGTTGCAGGGTTGGGGGGTGGGGGGGGCTGTGAAGCCCCCCAGGAGGGTTTTTTCCTGCTGGTAAGCACCTTGGCAGTGCTGCCCAAGGGAAGGTAATGGGGGGCTGCACCATGGGCATCCCCATCCCTGCCCAGGGGATGCTGCTGGGGTGTGAGTGGGGGGGTTTCTCGCTGCCCCATAGCCTGGGGGTGCCCAGCCCCTGAAGGCATTGCTGTGGGCAGAGCTGCCCCAGGGGGTGCCCCCCCCACCCCCCTTCCTCCCAGGGGTCCCTACGTACCTGCGGCTTCTTCCTGGGCCGCCCCCTGCCCCTCTTCTCCGACACGTCCTTCTCCCCTTTGGAGGCCAGAGGCTGGCTGGATTTGGCGCTGGATTCACTCATCGTCCTTCCAGCAGCAGTGAGGAAGAGCAGAAGGGGGGAGGAAGGTCAGTCAGTGATGGCTCACCATGCCAACCGGTGCCTCTCCCCCCACCCCTTGCCCCAGAGCAGGTGGGCACTGGGGGCCACGGAATTGACTCATGGGGCTGCGAGGGACAAGCGGAGCTGCCGGAGCCTCCCGCAGAGTCAGCGCAGCCACGGCCATGCCCCTGCCCCAGCTGCCCGTTCCCCCCTCGGTAAGATGCTCAGCCCCCCCAGCTGCCACCTGGCCCCTCTGCGGGGAGGGGGGTGGCCAGTGGGGTATCAGCGTGGACAGGAGGTGACAAGGACCAGGGTCCCCCCTCTAAGAATGCCTCTTAGAATTAAAATTCAACTGAAATGAGCAGCTTCTGCCCTGCTCCAGCCCTTCCCAGACGCTCGCCTGCATCCTGCTCCTCTCCCTGTGTGGAGCGGAGACCAGCCTGTGCCCAGGGCACTGCCAGGGCTGGCAGGGCCCGCAGTGGAGAAACCAAAAGCGTCACTAAGAGCTATACCTAGAAGAGACCACCACCTGTATTTTTTAACTCGCCAAGCCCATTTGGCAACACCACGCCGTGGGGTGCCGGGCTTTTCTGCCACAGAAACGCGGAGCACCTCAGGCAGGCATGACCCTTCCTCCCGCTGCTGCAAATCCAGTATCTGCAAAACCACTCCTGCTGCACCCGCGTTCCCTCCTGCAAACAGACCTTTGGCCCGTGCCAGTCCCCGCCATGTGTCCCCTCGCACCGCCGGTGGCTCGCGGCGATGCTCCGGTGCAACGAGCCCAGGCCAACACCAACGCACTGGGACGGAGCAACGTGTCTCAGGCTGCAGGGCCGGACTCCAGCAGTGGGACCCTGATGCCTCTTCCCACTCTCGTGGCCCCAGTGACCGGCCCCACGTGGTGGTGCTGGCTGGGTGAGGCTTTGGGTGCTCAGACCTCCCTCCCCATCTCACCCATCCCTACTCTCTGCCTTCCCCCAGGCTGGATTTGCAGCTGCATCCCTCCCGGGAATGCAACCTGCATCCTCCCATCACCGGCTGGGGAGCAAAACAAACCAGCTGCCAGGCAGGATCCTGCCCCAAAGCCCGCAGCACGGACACCCTGCTGAATTAGCCAGTGCCCCAGTGCTAAGGCAGCTCTCACGGTCCCCAACAGGCATTTGGGGAGCAGCAGCTTGGCCAGGTCTTCCCACAGAGCCCATCCCCTTTCCCCAAAAGGAGGAGACCAGCTCCAGATTTAATCTGGAGTCCTTGAAATCCCAGACGCTCTGTCAGCACTGGCAAGTTAGAACAGGATGAGCGATGGAACGGCACTGGGGGCCTCCGGGCATCCCCATGGGGGTCCCAGGGCCCTGGAAGGGTGGTGTAGGCTCCCACAGCCCTGCTCCCTCCACCCCACCTCGATACCCAGCACTGCTGCACCCAGGGTGGGATGCTGCACCCCTGACCCTGCTCCTGCCACCCCGGCTGGGTTTAGGGACAGGCACCACCTGGCACTTGTCCTAGGGACACGGGGTTGTCCCCACCTCTGTGCACATCCCAAAGGGCTGGATGGCTTTCCTTGCTCCTGGGGAAGTCCCACAGAAGAAAAGGCTCCATCGTCCCCTCTCTACCTTGATGCTTCCCCAGGGGCATAGGGAAAACCTGTTTTTCCAGAGCTGTGGGGCTGGTTTCAAATCCAGCTCCCAGCCCAGGAGCCAGGAGGATGGGCTCCGGGCTGGAAGGGAGCAGGATTGCTACCACAGCTCCAGCGGTTACTGGTGACCCGGAGCACAGGGTGCCTGCTCGGCTCCTTGGTCAGGCGACCATGGCCATGCAGGTTGGGGGGGGCACCTGCTCAGAGCAGTGATGTGATTGTTTCCCAGCAGAAATAGGGTGGCAAGAGCAGCGTCCTGATCTCGCTGCCCGTAAGCACGGGGTTTAGAGCTACCTGGGAGACTTAGCTAGAAAATCACAGACTTGCTCTGGGATGGATGATGCAAACCCCCCGGTCCACCTCTCCCTCCGGGGATGGTCCCTGCACCCCTGCCCTGGATCCGACCCATGTCTCTGGAGCATGGCACCCCCCGGCCCAGCTTCTGCAGGTACCAGGTTGTGTGCCCGGTCTACGTGAAAAGACAGAGACACTCTCCCTACCTCTGCCTACAGGGTTAATAACGCTTAGTTTTGAGCAACTGGTTTCAATTTGGATGGTGTTAGAGCAGCTGGGACAGTGCTACTGGGGAGAGTGGGACAGCCGGGGTGCTAAGCCCCCCCAGGGACACTGAGCCACATCGGGAGGCTGGAGCGGGCGCAGGCGAGACATGCAGTGCAAGGAGCTGTGCTCAGACCTTCGAGGCTTTTTAAAAAACACGTGTCAGCTCCCGCTCCCCTCTGGAAGTGACTCACGAGTGCAAAACAACAACAACAACAACCACCCTCGGATTCTTTTTTTTTTTTTTTTTTGGGAGACAGAAACCATGCTGTCGTGTAAACACCCCGAAAATATTACTCACAGCATCCCAGAGCCCTTCAAAAAGTCTCTTAGAAAAAAAAAAAGTATGGTTTAGATTTAGGAAAGAAAAATGCCGGCCGGCTGACCGGGGGCTGGGCTGGGTTTGTCTCTTTTTAAGTCAATCTTTGCCAGAGGAAATGCAGCCTCCGAGCCATGCCGTACCCTCTCCTGTAGCTGGAAAGAGATGGGCCCAGTATGGCCCCCACCCTGCCATGCTCTCCTCTGCCCCACCAGGGATGGGCACCGGCCCCACGCAGCGGCTCTGACCAGGGATGCTGTGGGGACCCTCCCCTTCGGGGGGATGCCACTGGGGATGGCCCCCCGAGCCAGAGCCTGCCGCCACAAAGTTGTGGGTGCTGGGAAAAGCACGTGCACATCCCACCCGTCCCTCCACCACCTCCGAGCTCTCCCCAGAGCCTCCAGAGCTGAATCCACCCCAGAGGACTGTGGGCTCCGTGTCCCGCTCCGGCAGAGGGGGATGAGGAGGAGGATGCTTGGGTGGGAGACCAGGGATGCTCCTCTCTCCCACCCCAGCACCTTCTCAGCCAACACCCCTCTTCCCGAGAGCGGCCCCGGTTCGGCACGATGCTCCCTGGCTCGGCAGCACCTGCCAGGGCCCGGGAGCACCCCGAGTCCATGGGACGGTGCTGGGCACACCGCGGGAAGCAGCTCCGGCCCCACTCGTGTGAATCAAAACCTTATAGGAGGGAGGGAGCAGCTGTGTTGCCATGGAGGAAAGGAAGCAGCTGAGAAAGAAACCTTTCCACGCAGGGAGGAATCGGTTGGAGATGAGGGCAGGGGACTGCCAGGCTCCCGGAGGCTGGGAGGGATAAATCTCTGCAAGGTTTGGAGGCGGAGGGGCTACATCCGCCTCTGGATCGATGGAGTTGGGGGATGAAAAACTCCTCCTCTCTCCATCCCTATGGATGGTGGGCAGCCGGGCTTTCCTCCCTCAGCCCCGTCGGCTCCCTCTGCTCCATGACACGAGCTGGGCCGGTCTCAGCAGCCACCTCTTGCACAAGCGACGGCTGGGTTGCAAAAGAGACAACCTGACCCCTCGGAGCGATGCTCCTCGCTGTCCCTGGGCCTGCTCCTGCCTTCCCCCACCCGCCCGCGCTGGCTTACACCTCTCCTTGCAAATAACCCCATAAATCCCCTGCTCCTGCCACCTACTCTTAGATTAAACAAACCAGCCCAGGGAGACAGGCGGTGGCTTAGATCTTAAAAAAAAAAAAAAGAAATAATAATAAATAAATCTCTTCACGCCCAGGAAATCTAGCCTGATTGCGGCTGGAGAAGGATCCCGGCCGCACCTCCTGGCAGAGGGAGGACAGGAGAGGGAGGAGGGGAAGAAATAGTGGAGCAGAAGTTGAAGAGCCTGTTCGGCAGGGGTGCGAGGGCTGGGAAGGGATGTGCGCGGCTCCTCATTAGGACAAGCCCTCCATGGGGCTGCTTTGAAGCCCCCCCCCCGGGCCTGCTATTAAGGAAAGTCCACCCCCCCCTTCCTTCCTGGGCATGCATAATAAAAGGAAGTGATAAAAGAAAGGAAGGAGGGAGGTGGGGGAGAAAGAAAAGAGGCAGGAAGGGCACCATCACACGCTTTGTGAAGCCCCTGTCCTGCGGGGTATAATAAAACCCCGGGTGGAGCCAGCCCTGTGTGGCATCTCTCCCCCCCCCC